AGAAGTAAACGGAATGAATATAAAGTTAGTTTATTTGATCAAGGCTAAAATAGATATCCTTTCTCTGGTAACCCTAAATGGACATCTGCTGACTGAAATGACAAGGTTTTATGAATGTGTTTACAGATAAGAGATAGGATATAGATTTTATAAAAATGGGAAAGAAGAGATCATTTGTTGTATTTTAAAAGGTGATAAATTACTAAAATTGTTTATCCTTGCTGCGAGAAAAGGGGAAGTCATCTTTTATATTTATTTTGTTTTTCTTTACTATATTCTTATTTTTCTTTATTTTTTATATTTTTTCCTATTCTGCATCTTCTATTTTTATTTTTTTAATCCGTTAGTTTTTATTGTTGTACACTGTAATCTTTAGTAAAATTACCATTTAAAAAAAGAAATAATTCTGTGAATTATAAAGCGAACTAAGAGTTTATAAGCATGGTAAGAAAAAACTAGACAGAACTGAATAATTAAAAAAGAAGTTCAAATGGACTAATAGCCATTGTTAAATATCTGACAGACAGATGGGGAAAAAGTGTATTTCCAAGCAGACCTAATTCGCTATTCTGCTCACTTTTACTCAGATCACATATTTATGTAATATCATACAAATATACACAATCCAAAATACAAAATCTATCAAAGTAATAATTCTTAACAAAGAACATCCCAACAATTGCCAAGTTTAGAGATTTTTTTTAAAAAAATTTCCTCTCTTGCTCATGTCAGGGAGGAGCTGTATCCTCTCACTTCAAACATTCTATAGCACAATTTCTTCAACTTGAAGGTTGGATTTCAGGGAGGGATGAAAGGAATTATTTGTGACAGACAACCTTCATAGGCTTATGCTAATCAGAATAAATAGGAGGAGCACAGCATTATCTCTTTTTTTTTGGTAGTTTTTCCAGAATTTTCCTTCCATGAAAGGTAATGGAAGAAAAAGAAAGTGCTCTGCCAGCTCTAGAGCTGGGTACTTTTGTCTTCCTATTCATTCAATTGTGTATCAAGTCAGACTACTGGTAAACCAAGTTCAATATTATATATCCTGCCTAGCAAGTTTCTAAGATTTCAGATCGTTTGCAATTGTACTTGCCAACACTTTACTAAGTTGAGAAGTTGTGATTTGTCTCCTAAAACTTTGGACTTGGGCTTAGGCATACATAATGTAAAATTGAGCTATAAAACTGGGCTAATTAAAAATGCATTCAATTAGGCTCTTGAAGTAATTTTTAAAAATACATCTTTTGCGCAAAAGAAGCAGGCAATTTGTGTTTTACTGCAGCCTTAATGAGAAACAAAATAGGAAACAAATGAAGCTCTAGTGCTATCTGCTGTATCAGTCTAGAATTGCTCCAAATAATTTCCTTAATTCAACACCTAACATTCACTTGAAGAATCATTAAATGATACATTTGTGTGTCTTTTAAAATGCATTTTGGGGAAATGATAGTTATTAATATACAGCTTCAGAAGTTGAGTGAAAGGTATTATTCAGTACTGAGATAGCATTTTACTCCAAAGTGAATTCAACTTCTATATACATTTCCTGGCCTCTTTTAGCAGTCTGTCCCCACCTTCATTACTTTACTATCCTGACCATGCTGCCATTCTATAATTAGACCTTTCCTAATCCATGGTATTTTTATCTTCACGACATTTTTAAGCAAACTATTATTTTGAGGATGCATGACCCTGGACGCTCTTTTTTTAATCACATTTAAAAAATTTATTTTATGGACAATAGTCCAATTTCAATACTGTGATCATCTCTCTCCGTGAGTTCAACAGTATACTGTATCCCTCTTTTATTAAATCCCAAGTATTATTGATTCGATTTTTCTAATCAAAGTTGTCACCCATTTTGAACACGACAATTTATATCTAATTGCATCTTCATAACCTTGACATGCTCTTATCCATGCCACAAAGATAGTTCCAAGGTACAACGCTCAGTATAGTTTTGTACTCCTAGCCCAGGGGTAGGCAACCTTGGCTCTTTTATGACTCGTGGACTTCAACTCCCAGAATTCCTGAGCCAGCTAAGCTGGCTCAGGAATTCTGGGAGTTGAAGTCCACAAGTCATAAAAGAGCCAAGGTTGACTACCCCTGTGACCTAGCCTAACGGCGTAACAACAAAAGCGCCTTTGCCTTCGCGTTATAATGTAAAGCTAGTGCAAATACATCATGATGAATAAGCAGTCCTAGATTATGTCATAATAGCAATATTAATAATAAACATTTATTAAACTTGTCCGTAGACGGTATTAGGGAGGCAAAACAAGAAATCACCTCCGGCGCCCCCACTCCAGGATACCAGAGAGACTCCATTTCATTTTATAGCCCAACTTAAATCTATTTCTAGCTTGTACTTTATAGGCGCCGCCAGAGTCTCTGAATTGTCTTTTATCTCCTGGGCATTTCCCCCCAAGAGTCCTAATTTTTGCTTTTCAGCCACGGGACCTCATTTCTTCTCCACCCATCAACTCGACGAATTCCTATTACACAGACTCCATTCCCAGACTGCCAATGGACCAATGGACTATCCCTGCCTCAGTTCAAGTTGCAGCCTCCGTCCTGCCGGACAGCCGGATCCCCGAGCCTTAAACTCTTCTACTTTTGCAGCAACACTTCTGGCGCTTTAACTCGCCCCTGGGATAGCTGCTCTGTATGGTAAGCCTCCGGCCATTCCCACGTTACGTCTCCCGTTACATCCTGGTACGGTCAAAACTTCGAATTGCCACGCCTCTTTTCCTTTCTCACGCATCTTAATCCTAACCCAGAACGTCCAAGCTGAACTCGTTTTTTTTTGTTTCCCCACTGTTTTTCTCGGCCTGTTTCCCTAACCTTTTTGAAGCCTCCCGCGCATTCTTCCCTCGCCTCCATTTCACATTGCATCCCTGGTTAGACTCGGCGCTAAAACCGTCAGAACGGCGCATGGCATGTTGGGAAATGTAGTTCCTGGAGTCCCACCCTCAACCGTTTACTTCCGGAGAAGAACGCGTCCACCAGACATTCTTAACAAGAGGCATTCTGGGACGTGTAGTTGATTTTCCTCCGCCCGCCCTTCAGTCTCTGTAGCTGCTGATCTGAAAAGAGGCGGGAGGCTTAAGTTAGACGGAAGGCTTAAGTTTGAAGTTTCGTTTTAGGAAAGAAAACAAAAGCTGAGCTGGGTTCGGTGCCCGAAAGCATCGAGTCAGGCTCTGAGGATGGAGGAAATAGGGAAAGGAGGGGGAGCGATCAGAATATGAGAGTCTTGATTACAGTAAGTCGGTTCAGGAAGGCCACCCTTGCCAACGTGTCCTGCTTAGTGAACGCATTTCTCAGCTTCTCATCGACGCTTGCTTAGCGGTTCCGCTTTCTTAGCCTTTTGCTCATCAGCCCTCATTTTCGGAAAAGTTGTGAGAATGGACTGCGGGTGGTCTTTGCGTCGATCCTATTGAATCATAGTCCTAAACTTTAGTTCTTTGCTTGTGGGACTTACATCTAAGAAAATAGGTGGATTCACATGTGAACAAGTGATGATTTAGAACCAAAATCTATGTCTGTAGAAGCATAATATTGAACTCTGTAAGACCTACTAATAGATATAGAACTGTTTGCAACTCAACTCCGCTGAATTTAGTACTGTAATTTAGCTAAAAAAAGTGGCTTGGGGTTCTGGATTTTTTTCCTAAAGGCAATTATGTTAGGACTTGAGTAAAGTAAACCTGCTTAGGATCTCAGTTTAAATCTAAAATAATTTAGAAGTGCCTTTCAAGTGGTTCCAAGCCAACAAGTTATGTTTAGTTGTTGATGTTTCCTTTTTCTCTCCCCCCCCCATCATTCTTACAGTTCAATTTTTAATTTTTTAATTTTTCCTCTTGTAAGTATTTAAAGAGAGATGAACATGTTTAGAGATTTACTGTAGAAAGTTCACTAAAAACTTTTAGAAAGGATTAAAAATAAATTATTGCTGGGATGTTTTCAAATAAAATGTAGGAGGACTAGTGAGTTATATGCATTAAGTATTTTCAAGCATTTTTAATTCACCTTTTAAAAGATTACATTGTATTAATATTATATCATGTGAAACAAAGTATTTCTAGAAAAGAGTCCACAGACTTCAAAACTGATTTACTACATGGTGATTTAAGAACCATTTCAGTTTGAGGTGGGTGAGATACTCTGAAATTGTTTCAGTGTTTGGGCTGTGAGAATAGATTCAGTTTCTGAGTGACAAACACATATGTGTCAGTTCATTTACTGTGAACAAATTTAAAATATATAATTATTACTGCCTGGAATACAGAAACATAAAGCGCCTAGTTGTAATTATACATAGCATGCTACATTACCTTCTCATAGACCACAACACTACAATGGCAACTGGATTCTAAAACAAATGTCTGGGGAGAGGTATCAACTTGGCGCCTTTGTGCAAAACTTTGGCTCCATCCCTACATTTTAAATTAAATTAAAACATTAACTTGTTGACACACAAAGAATAGACAAAACTTGCCAGATGTCGTAAGTTTAGCAGAATGTGCAATCCAGATTTTAACAGTAAAACCCACACACTGAGTTTCAAGGAATCCTGTACAAAATATATACACACACACAGGACTGCACACATGTTTATGGTAATGAATGGTCTCTTAACTCCACCAGAAGATACAACTTCATAGCATGCAATTGGTATATTTTATCTCAAAACAGTTGTGCCATAAAACAAGCACTAAACGTATTATTTGTTTAGTCGGATCATTTTTATTTTTCTGCCAGAACAGGATCTTAGCATATGTTTTAACTGATATCTTTGCTCTTGATCTTTTTAGTGAAGAAATATAATCCCTATAGTATGAATCACACAGTAAATCTACTGTTTCTCGGTAGAGAGAAAGAAATAATTAAAATGCCTCTGAACTACAGTTCCCAGCATGCACTATTTCCCAGGTAGTAAGATTTAGAAAAGACATTTAACTACAATTCCCAACATGCTCCAGTCTCCTTAGTTACAAAAGTAGGCATTGGCTGTTGAAGGGTGAGGCTTTAGTTCTAGCAACCCTCAGCAAGCTTTTGAAACAGGTTTGATTGTCTCAAGGCTTCTCGTAACAGAGGTACTTGCTGGCTTCAGCATTTGGAGATAGAGGTTCAAATCAGATCATTAAGCAATATGTGCTCTGGCAATAATTTGCGGTTGTTGTTGTTCACCAGGCTACCAGCTGCTGCCTTTTGATCTTGCCATCGGTCTTAACCCTTTATCTACATGGGGGAAATGAGTGATGCCTGCCACAGAGATGGATGCCTTCCGACAGTCTTATACTAGGCTGTGCAAAGAGAGTGGTGCTGAGCCTCAAGAGAGTATCCTGCCACACTTGGAGGAAGCCACAGGAAGAAACCGTTTGGATTTAGCCACACAAAGCCTTTCTGTAGATAGTTGTGGAGTCCTTGGCAAGCTCTTGCAGGATGACCTCCAGTTCACCGAGATCATACTGAACGATTGCATGTTGAGTGAAGAAGGTGGGACCTCCTCTGTTTATAAGGCAATTCTCGATTTCTCTCCTGTCCTGAAAATTTATTGGAGTTCATGGCACCTTCACTTCCATTGCGTTGCTTGCTGTTAACTTCATTTTGTAATCAGACACTGTCTGTGCTAACAATTTGCCTAGACGGGTTGCCTCTAAAGTGGAAATTAGTCATTAAATTAGGACAAGGACATGTGATAATATATACCTTCCCAAGAACAGGAGGAGAGGGAAATGTCAGAGTCTTCAAGAGTATGTTCTCATGATCAGTCAAACGAAATCTATATATTGTTTAATAATATGTCAGTGGGTTCACATGTCACATCAGGCATGAATTCACCCACTGGTTTACTCAATAAATCATAGTTAAACAAAACAAGATTCAGTACAATGTGTGAATGTGGTTGTTTTTTTTTTAAATTGGGAAACTTGCTAACATTTTCAGATATGAGTCTTTTTCCTTGTAGGGGCTAAGCTGCTATTACATGGACTTTGTTCCAATACAGTTGTGAAGTTCTTAAATCTGAAGGTGAGTGTGCTGCACCTTAGTCTTAGGGTAGCAAAATGTCTAGGATGCTTTTGCTTTGGGGAATAATAACAGGGTGGACTTAAAATAGTCTGGAAAAGCTTTCTGAGGCAAATCATATAACTGGAGTCTGTAGTGTGTGTGCAACCTTAAGAAACCTGTTGGTTTTAAAATAGCAGTTGAAGATAAGTATCTGATCTTTGAATAATTAAATAACAATGTAAAATGCACAAATAGAATAAAAGGTAAAAGAAGAAAGAACTTCTGGTGAATTGTTTTTCAGCTCTTCTGTTTTTAAGCATATTTGTATTTCCCAATCCTTACTACATAATTTGATATTGGAGAATATAATAGCATTATTAAATTTGTTATTAATTGACTATTATCACACCCATAAGTGTATGGATGTACATATGCATACATATATTTGTGACTCAGATTTTCATCAATTTTCACCATAGTTTCTTTCCAAATCAATACTGGGAGGTTATTGATAAAATTTCCATGCTCCCTTTCTATTTACACACAAAATGATGTACAGTGGTAGAATTGTAAAGATAACGTGGGACCGTTAAACGTAAAACATGGAAATGGACATAAATTTATGAATTCTGTGGTGAGAAGTGCAAACTATGCAAGTGAGCATGAATTAACAAGTTGTGTGAAGAGGAGACAGTCAAGTGTGTTGGATTTTCAGAGTCTTGGTTCTGTTTAATGCCTGGATGTATCCATGTTTTGAGAAATGAAGAGACTAACTAGGTTTGGTTTATTTTAGGGAAACAACCTGCGAGCTGTTGGGGCTGAGGCTCTGGGAAAGCTCCTCAGGCAAAACAAGACTATCCAGAGGTGAGCAGTCACAGGGATATGGAGGGTCTCTCAAGCTGTGGACAAACAATTGGTTCAGATTGTCAGAGGAGGATTATTATATTTGCATTATGTCTGCTTGGGAGAGGATTCGGGGTTCCCTTTTCAACTGTAACCTATGTCTTCTATGCATCAGCCTCTATTATTGTAATTGTCTCCTTCTTCCCAAGGCTCACTTTGGAGTGGAACAATCTAGGTGTATGGGAAGAAAGCTTCACTATCTTCTGCGAGGGGCTTGGTGCAAACCACCATCTCCAGATGTTGGACCTGCGCAATAATCAAATCAACCATCAGGGAGCAGGAGAACTGGCCATGGCACTGAAAGCCAATTCTAGTCTACAAGAACTCGGTAATGCTGGCCTTTTTAAAAACAGAGGGTGACTCCCATCCCATCCCGTTTGACAACCTAGACCAGTGTTTCTCAACCTTGACAATTTTAAGGCATGTGGACTTCAACTCCCAGAATTCCACAGCCAGCATTGCTGGCTGTGGAATTCTGGGAGTTGAAGTCCACATGCCTTAAAATTGTCAAGGTTGAGAAACACTGACTTAGACCAAGGGTGTCAAACTGCCGGCCCGTGGGCCAGATGCGTCATGGCGAAACCGTGCCCACCCCAATGCCGGCAATGGAAAAAAAGTCACGATACGTTGCGACACGTCACATGACGGGGCAAGTTTGACACCCCTGACCTAGGCCATTTTACTGAGAAGTAAAGACTGCTAATTGTTTTTTATGCTTGGTTTATTAAGAATTTTGATTATAAGAGTTAAAACTGATGCAAATTAAACTTAAAGAAAGAAAAAAATCGTAAACAGTATGGGATATCTCTTCATCCCATATCCCATCTCTTATCTATAAACAAATCCACAAAACATATTTTTAGTCCTGGTGTCAGTAGAAAATCCATAAAAGGTTGCCAAAAGTAATAACATATCTTGTTATAACCTTGATCAAATAAACCAGCTTTTTATTCCTTCCTTTTATTTTTAACAGTTTAGTTCATTCAGATATTGTCATAGGATTTGATTTCTCTTTATTTCTTCTTTGTCTCACTCTTCAAGGTTTGAACAAGCCACTTTTGTTAATCCAGTAGGAAAAAAACAGTTTTTCTTGGTTTCTCATTTATATTTCCCTTTTAAATTCATCCAATTTATTTTATAGATCCAGTGAAACATCCTTTTCTTAGTCTTTCTCTTGGCCTGTCAGTTCTAAATCCAATTTCCTCTTTTGTCAGATAAAATTTGTTCTACATCTATCATTTATTCAATAACATCTTTTGGTCATAGTCTACCAATAGAAGCAGACATCATTACTGACATTGCTGATATTGTGGCTACTGTTTTATGATTTCATTCTTCAAAAGTCTCCTTCAGGGTTTTAAAGTTTGAGGTTTGTTTTTTTTTTAAAAAAAAAAACCTTTAAAAGTTTCCATCATAATTGCAAGCAAGATGGTTAATCCCATTGTCTTATAATTGGACAAAACTGCTGTCCTGCAATCTCCTTACAAGGAGCAGCTCTTATCTAGAGAGATAACAAGGAACCAGTCTGCTCACTGGTTCCTTGGTTTTTGCGACAGATATCTGCTCTACTTTCACAGAGCCATCTTCAGTTCTCCATACCTCCACTGGAAGTCTGGAAATAATTCCTGCTAATTTGAAAATTGCATGAATTATGTGTAAGCTAGGTGTAGCTTTTTGCCAAATTAGGGCTGCTGTTTAGACAATTAATGAAGTATCTCAGCTGGCAGAGATATTGTAGTGCAGTACCTCTATTCAAAAGTAGATACTTTTGCACATAGTCTTCCAAGTAAGGGGGGGGGGAAACAGAAATGTCCAACTGTGGGCACAACTTGAGAGGGCTGTTCTGTACAATTTGGTACAGAACTATCAAAAGTTAACCCATGCTGGTGGACTTGCTTCTGCCTTCCTAAGCAATGTAATAAATTCCTCAGCACCCTTTGAGAAATACTGTTTAGCATTCATTCTGGTAGAAGTTTCAACCACTGATGTGCCAATTTGGGAATGCAAGACCTTGTATGAATGTTTGCTTCTTGCTTAGATCTACGGTGGAATAATATTGGACTCTTGGGGGGCCGGGCACTTCTGAACTGTCTTCATAGCAACCGGACAGTACGGCAGCTTGAATTAGCTGGGAACAATGTACCAAGTGATATCCTGAAGGCTGTGGGTAAGCAATTGTGCCAGCTTTCTATTTGATAAAAAATAATTAGATTCAACTCCAGCTACAGATTGTTCTACTGTGTGACTCCTGCCTTTGTGGCTGTAGGGCTAAGGAATCACCATACAGTGTGAAAACCTAGACTTTTTCAGAATTTTCAGAGACATTTCTAACTCTGGATTTAGAGAGCTACTCTGGAAGTGGGCAGGGAGTGGACAACAGCAGTCTAAAGGCATTGCTGTTACATCCAGCTTGTGGGCTTTAAAAAATATTGTAATGATAAATTACATATTCTAAGAATGAGTAGGTATTAGATGAATGTATACAGGCATATAATCTTCGGAGCTTTAGGGGGGGTACATTATAAAGGAAATTGATTGTTTTGACAGAATGGATGGGTTCCAGAGTGATAACTCATTAATCATTGTTAAGGAAAAAAATGCTGCTCTAGGTAGAACAGTGTTTCTCAACCTTGACAATTTTAAGGCATGTGGACTTCAACTCCCAGAATTCCACAGCCAGCAATGCTGGCTGTGGAATTCTGGGAGTTGAAGTCCACATGCCTTAAAATTGTCAAGGTTGAGAAACACTGAGGTAGAACCTTTGTCAGATCCAGGTGGTGATTTTTTTTTCCTGCAGGATCATAAGTAACAACATCTGAATACACCTACAAACCTGTTGAATGAGGGAACAGTTAACATTGTTTCATGTTTCTTTATGGTTCAGATCAAGCAATGGAACATAACCAAGAGCGTCAGAATATTCTCTCCAAAAATCGTAACATGACAAAAATTCTCAGCAAAGAGGTGATGTGCTTGAAAGAAGAGAAAGCTAAACAGGTTAGTTGATCAAAAGTAATTAACAGTTGTGGCAGGTGACGGAGCTTGAATGTATAGTTTGCTCCACTGTGAAAACTAAGTTACTTTAGTGCAGGCATGTCAAACTGCCGGCCTGCGGGCCAGATGCGTCACGCTGAAACCGTGCCCACCCCATTGCTGGCAATGGGGAAAAAGTTCCGATATGTCATGCGACATCACATGCCTGCTTTAGTGGCTGAAATCACCCAGAGCCTTGGATTTGTTTTGCTATGGTTTATTGAACAAGGAACAGTTGACTGGGATCACAATCATCAACCCAAATCAAACAAACATTATAATTTAGTGCAGCGTGTGAGCCCAGACATTATACCGTGAGATTAAAAGGGGATAAAACTATTTAGAGGGCCTGATCTTCCTAGAAGAAGAAAAAAGAGTAGTTTCTTCTCCTCTGGAACCTAACTTTGGAAACGTTCAGCCTAAATTTATTTTTCACTCAATAAAGTGACTAGCTACTTATAAGCAGAGTAGGTATGGCTACCAAATGTTTGTACTTTGAAAGGATACTGTTAATGTTAAATCTGTTTTACAGTTCCTGGATCTAATGGACACCATTGACAAGCAGAGAGAGGATATAAACCAGAGCAACAGGTAAGCATATTGAGCCATCATGTAGAGCTGAGTACTGTATTGCCGTCAAAACTTTTCCTGCTGGATGTCTTCCATCAGCAATTTTGTTTAGATGTTAACAAGGAGTGGAGAGAGGAGAGATCCTCGAGGCACTCCACAAAGTAGACTTCTCTGAGCAGGTCTCTCCTGTTACCTCTATCAAATGGAATCAATCCAGTGGTGGATTCAAATACCTGAACAACTGGTTCTATTACTGTATGTGATGCAGGCCTGGGCCTCCGATGCCTAGAACGGACTTCCGGAAGTGGTATCCATGCACTTTCAGTGGGCCATTCTAGGCCTGGGAGGCCTCCGAAGCCTAGACTGGACTTCAAGAAGCCAGTCAGTTCTCTGAATTGAGGTAAATTTAGCTACCGGTTCTCCCGAACTGGTGCAAACTGGCTGAATCCCACCACTGAATCAATCCCTCAGGAAAGAGGAGACTACTATAAAACAATGCCCCTCCACTCCAATCCAGTAGTAATAGTCTACAAGGACACCATGGTCAATGGAATCAAAAGCCGCTGAGAAGTCAGAAAAGACCAGGTGAGTTGATCCCGGTCTTTGATTTCGCAGCCTGCTATTCTGAGAATTGAAATCCACACATCTTGTAAGTTCCAAGGTTGAGAAACACTGAGTTGAAGGATTCAGCCCTTCTTTCCCTCCTTGGGATACAGACAAAATCAACCTTAAAGATATATCCATTTTTATAGGAATAACACTTTTTTGAACCAGATGTTTTCATCTGTACTTCCACTTAAAAAATGTCAGCCATCTCTCTAATACTGGGGAGATGCTAAAGCCCCCTGTTCCAGCCATGATTCCTGCTCTTCTTTTTTTTTTATGGACAAAAGTTCATATTTTTCCAGCCAAGGTAGGAGCTGGAGAGTAATCAATTTTGTATATACAACAGAGGGCATCCCTTCCTTGTGAAGATGTGAATTGGGAATGCTTGAGTTGTTAGATTGGCAGATTATAAATGTCTTGGTCTGTGGCCTGCACACTCACAACTTCCCCAGATCACATTTACTTAGAATGTTGCATAATTTTTCCAATTTATCCCTGAATCTCTAATTATCATTATTTTTTGGAGCATTATATGCAACCATTAACACCTTATGAATTTCTACTTTCATACACATCCATAACAACTTGTATGGGACCAGTTCATGTTTGGGGAAATTTTATTCCTTTTCTTCATAATTAAATCTGCTCTTTGACTTCCATACATATATATAGACATAGACATCAATAGAAGATAGTATTTGTAGCTCAGGGTTGACCTGTGGGTTCTTAATGCTTTCTGAATTCGGTTATTTTCTTTCAAGAGAACAACTAAGCTCAGAGGTCACCAAGAACCCCATAGTATAGTCATCAGTTTTACTCCATAAGATCAGACCACGTTTATTCAAATCTTTCCCCTTTGTCTTAATATAACCAGTATATAACTCTTTTTTTCATTTTATTGCATTGATTAATTCTTCTATTTTCTACTTGTTCTTCTTATAGTCTAATTCAAAATCTTCCACAAGGTCTGATGTTTCAAGAGGAGCACATAAATACTGACCTCATGATGGCTTTGCTTAATTGAGACTTTGACACAGCATGTTTTAGGAAAGGGAGACAATATAGACTAGTTCACCAGCCTTACTTTTCCCTGTTCCACATTCACTTGCCCTCCAGTAACTTTTGTTTCATTTTTCTTATATTTGAGGCAGTATTTTACAAAAAAACCACCAAGGCCATTTCCCCCCAGGTATGCTGATATTATTCTGCGCAGCCATTTGGAGACAGTATATTCCATCAATTAAGGAACATAATTTTAATATCCTTCTTCCCATTTCTATATACTTTGGGCCTTTCCAACTTCCGTCTAACCATAGCATACGTATGCCATGATCACTTTGGTTATGGCCTTGTGACCTTGTCTTCATCTCATCTTCACCCTAGACTTGAGGACAGACATCCATAGAAATCTTGATAATGCAATAGAATTTCTCTCCTAAGCAAACAAGCAAGCAAAAAGCTGTGGGAACTTTACTGTGGGTGCTGTCTGGTCTCCTTCAGCAACCATCCTGTCAGTGATGCTATCACACATCCCTAAGTACCTTTTTGCCATTTCTGGGGGGGGCAGATGTGCCTTCTTCCCTCTAGTCCTTAGGCAGCATCTTAATAATAATAATAATAATAATAATAATAATAATAATAATAATAATAATAATAATAATAATAATAATAATAAAGTTGAGAGGGACCTTGGAGGTCATCTAGTCCAACCCCATGCTCAGGCAAGGGGTTGGACTAGATTGTTCAGGATTGTTCTGCTTTGGCAAGCAGAAAAGTTTGAGTCTTTTAAAACAGGCTCTTCCAATTTACTCCAGTTCTGAGCCATGGCAAATGATTTAAAAATAGCGAGTGACAGGCAGGGTCAAGGTGCAGTGGGAGAGAGCCCGCTTGCATATCCCTGCATCCTCCCTTCTCCACATTACACGTATTTTAGGCCAGGGGTGTCCAACCTTGGCAGCTTTAAGACTTGTGAACTTCAACGACAGAACTCCCTAGCCAGCCATGCTGGCTGGGGAATTCTGGGAGTTGAAGTTCACAAGTTGACAAGGTTATCTTGGCATCCATGTCTTAGGCTAAATCGGAATGAATTTTGACAAATGATTAAACCTACCAGTAGACATTTCCCCCTACCATGTCTCTTCTCCAGCCCCTCTTAGATCCAAAAGAATCATTGGCAAATGTTTTTCTCTCAGCTGGTGACATTTGATTAGGGAAGGAAGGAAGCCCATATATAGTAAATAAGGATGCCATTGTTTGGCACCTACCTGATGGAGACCAATCATCTATACGCCAGGATGGTGTTCTGCCAGCTCAGGATGAGGGGAGAGCCCTCTATATAAACCCAAAGGAGCAGTTTTAACCATTACCTGGCTCTTATGTTGCCACAAGGGCTCCTCTCTTGTCAGTTTTCAGCAAAGATTCTACACAATGAATGTTCCCTTATACATGGATATTCCCTCTGCTCTCCTTGCAGGGTATCGGCAGCACGAGTCGGGCGTCTGCAAGAGGCCCTGAATGAGCGCTATTCGATGATGAATTCCCTAAAAGCAAAGTACGGAGTACAGCTTGGCAATGTTGGAGAAAGTAGGCTAATGTTGTTGATGACAGTCCCAACTCAGATTTGATTCCCAATCGGAATAATCCAGCTGGCATTCCACTTCATGATTCAAATGAATGGAAAATTGTGGAACTAGAGGAGGGAACAGGAACAAGTCAGAGAGGACAAAATTCAGTAATTGTTTAAAGGAGAAGTAGAATTATTCACCTTCCTAAATACAAATATAAAATAATATACATATGAGGGGGAGCAGGGAGAAATGGGGAATGTACCTATCATTGTAAAAAGGTGTGACAGAATTTAAGACGATGATAAAAAAAAAAGTCAGGCTCCTGTTGTTCTGCATACTGGAGACAGTTTTTCAAATAACAAATTTGACTTGTAGTATGTTTGTTGGAAAATGTGGCCGGCAACACAAGAATTCATTCAATGCTGTGTGGAGCAGATATTAACCATTGTATGTACCTACAGGTAGCCCTTATATCAGTGATGGCGAACCTTTTAGAGACCGAGTGGCCAAACTCTAACCCAAAACCCACTTATGCATCGTCGGGTGCCGGGTGGATGTGACCCATTGGGTGGGTGTGGCCCATTGAGTGGGCGTGGCTACGGTGGTAACAGCAGACTTGGTGGGACTAAAAAGTTCAATCAATCAATTCCAACTTTGCGAGATCTATTTTTTTCCTGCGAGAAGTTGAAATTGACTGATTGATTGAACCTTTTTTTTTTTGTACATGGCGATGGAGGCCTAAAGCGAAAAGGTTTTATAAAACCCAGCTGAAAGCCTAGGATTGGAGCGATGGCGCACGTGCCCACAGAGAGGGCTCTGAGTGCCGCCTCTGGCACCCGTGCCATAGGTTCACCACCACTGCCTTATATAATTATTCATTTAGCAACCATTCAAATTTACAAGGTACTGAATGAAGAGACTTATGACCTGTGTCCATAGTTACAGCCATTGCAGTGCCCCGTCATCCGATTACAATCTGGGTGCTTTGGCAACTATTGCACACTTACAACCATCCCACAATCATGTATTCACTATTTGCTGTCTTCCCTGCCAGCTTCCCCAGTAAGTCAGTGTGGGAGCTGGTAGGGAAGATCTCAAGCCACTGCTGCCTGACAAGACGACTCCCTCCGGTTTCTGTGGGCTGGCTGCGAACACCTTGTGCTGCAAACACTTGGCCAAAACCCTGCTTAGGTTTGGGGACAGATGCAGCATGGGGAGTCTTTTGCGTCTGGGGGGCTTTCTGCAAATGCCCCATGGTGCAAATGGTCTGTGCCCAAATCCTGCTTAGATTTGGGGTGGACTTTTTTCAGCCAGCCTCTTTGAGAGCAGAAAGGCTGTCCTTGGGAGTTTTAGCCCCATGTGAGACTGAGTCCCTTTTGCAGGCAGCTCTTTTCCTCCATCCACTAAACAAACCAGGAGATCACTTAACAACTGCAATCAGGAGTCCCAGGATTGCAGTCATTGAGAGAAGCGGTCACATGACATCTTGTTTCATGACCGTCTCAATTAATGACCAAAGTTTTCGGTCTCTGGTACATGTATTAGGGAAAGCTGTCAAGGAGTGCAAATTCTGGATCTGCTTTGGTCAACCTGACACTCCAAATCCAGAGGTTGAGGCTTATGGGTAGATTTGGGACTAGATACAAACTTAAGAACTGCTTAGCTCCTTTACCATCTAGTTACTCTGAAACAAGTCTTGTTTTGCAGTGCAGGTGTTCTTATTGCTGGGCAGCTAGCTCAGAAAAACTCAAGGCAGCCTTGAAAGTAGCTTTTACTTGAAACTTGCTGCTTTGCAGACTCCAGATGACAGAGGCAGCTTTGGCACTGTCAGAGCAGAAGGTGTGCAGCCTGGGAGAAATTTTGAGCACAGCAAAAGAGGAGCAAGCAAAACTGGCGGAGAACCACGCCAAGGAGTTTCAACAACACAAGAAGGTAGACATCTGGGATGATCTGAGGAGTCAGGGAGTGTATATAATCAAGCAAGATATCTGGCACCATCTGAAACAGATGTCTTTGCTTGAAACAAGCCCAATGTTAGTGGGGAAAGGGTGTGAAGCTGCTCCGAGGTTTGGATCAAACCAGGAAGGGCGCTGGAAAAAGGAAGAAGGGCTGACTGATGCATCTCTGCTTTTGCAGAATTCTTCTGATCGTGAGGCAAAGCTTCTGCAGGAACTTTTCACAGCCAATGAGAAAAATATCCAGCTCAAAAATGAGGTAAAAAAAATGTTTGAATAGCATTACGTCAGGGTTTCTTAACCTCAACAAACTTGTAGATGTGTGGACTTCATCTCCAGAATTCTCCAGCCACCATGGGAGTTGAAGTCAACACATCTTCAAATTTCCAAGGTTGAGACGCACTGCATTAAGAGTTATTTAACTTAAGATTCTCTCAATTTAGCTTTTGGCTCCTGGATGCAGCCTTGGGCAATAGCAGCTTTGGGCAATTGCTTCAGTGAGTTACAGGTTGTGGGTTACGAGCCATAAATGTATAAATGCAGTCAATCCAACACAGTGGAACAGTTTGCCCAGGCAGCCTGCTGATCAGGCTGACAGCACCTATTCCATAGACCAGGGGTGTCAAACTCAAT